CTGCAGCGAGAGGCCCAGCGAGAAGCTCAGGCTATAGAAAGGGCCCAAGCTGCAGAACGCTCCAAGAGCTGGAGATCTAGACTCAATGATGCATCTCGAGGAGGTGCAGGCTACATACATCGACTTACCAAGCGGGCATCGCCACCCATCGCGGTTCAGAAAAACGGATTCACCTCATTTCAGTTGGAAGACCCACAGACTGCTGTTGATGTCGAGGCGGAGGCCTGAGTCAAGGTGTGGACAAGTCACGGTGCCATGAGCGCAGGCACTCCGCATCGGCAGTAGAAAGCATTGCCAACATATCGCCAGTACGCTTGTGTGCAATATTTCGGGCATTCAAGCCACACACTGGCATCGGCATCGACTGCTGGCACCCTCGCTGGAGTTGGCTTTCAGATGGCGCAGGACAGTTTCTCATCGACTTCATGCATTATGTCTCACGCAGAGCCCATTGGCCGCCGCAGATCAGATATATAATGTATTTTCTGCTGCAGAAGCCAAAAGGAGATAACAGGCCTCTGGGGCTACTGCCCACTCCCACGCGCGTTGCTGAGAGAGCGCATGCACCGCTTTTCTTTGCTTGGGAGAATATGATCCGGAGGCCATGCGGCGCAGCAGGACCAGGTGGTGGTGCAGAAGAAGCAATATGGCACCAGATGCTGGTGGACGAGGGGGCCAACAAGCTCGACGGCACAACCACGGCAACGGCGGCCCTGGATATGGAAAAGGCCTTCGAACACACATCTATGCACAAGCTATGGGAGATTGCCGACGATGTTGGATTCCCACGACAGTTGCTGAAGAGGGAGATTTCAATTTTCACATGCGCCAGGAGCGTTGCCTTCAAGGGAGTCACCAGCTCGCACAGTGGCCCCACTGACCCCGCGGCGGTCGCAGGCAGCACTGTAGGCACGAGAGCCCTCAAGATGGCGGTCATCAGGGATCTGGATAACATCATGACGCGCTGGCCGCACATGCACATCACATTTTATGTCGACGATGCCAGCTTCCAGCGCAGAGCGGACCCCATCACGATTTCCGAGGAGCTGGGGGATGCGGTCGCCTACTACATCGACCAGATCGAGGGCGACGGCACCTCCCCTTCTCACGCCGTCGCGACAGCGGCGCTGCAGGCAAGGGGTTTACTCTGACAGCCTCTCGCCGAGCACGCCAGGCGCGCAAGCACTGGGCAGGCCGTTTGGGCCTCGAGCTTAAACCTTTTAGCGGCCAGCTCGGCGTTGACAGCGCGGGCGGTAATATTGCCAGAGTTCGAGGGCGAATCTGGGGCCGTGAGCAGGTTGCGCTCAGGGGGAAGCGCAAGATCACGGCGCTCGCTCGGCAGGGGGCGCGAGTTGGCAAGGTCGTCCGCTGCGGCCTTACCCCGCCTCTCACTTACGGCACCTCCTGTCTAGGCATGGACCCCAGCAAGCTCAACAGAACGAGGCAACTTGTGGCGAGCACTCTTGGCGGTGCCGCTATTGGCAAGGACCGCGCCATGAGACTTTGGCTCCGCCATGTTGACCCAGCGATTGAAGCATGCATCAAGCCACTGGTCCAGTGGGCCACTGCGGCGTTCAATGATTCTGCGCCTTCGGAGCTCAGCGCTGCATGGGGGCAAGCGAGCACGGCAGTAGCAGCACGACCGCTCGCGAACCTCCGCCGCACAGCCCCCACTGCCTTGAAGGGGCTGGCGACGGCGAGGCTCGAAGCTGTCGAACTCACCGCGTGGGCCACTGCCAGGAACCTCGGTTTTGTTCGGCCCTTCTTGGGGCCCATCCGCGCTGCCCTCGGACAGCGGCGAAACTCCCCTGGGCGCCAGCAGGCCATTTTGGCCTTTGTGTGCAAATCTTTCTGGACCCAGGACAAGGTTTGGAAGGCTGGACATAGCGACACACGTGAGTGCCAACTCTGCCAAGCGCCTGAGGGCACTCAGCACCACCGTTTTTTGCAAGCGCGCTGGTTTGAACGAAGCTCGAAGAATTGCGGCAGAGGAGCTGCCCGAGATTGCCCAGAGAGCGGCGGACCCCATGCCCTCCTCCCTCCTTTTTTCGAGAGGCCTCACCGCCCATCCCGTCGACGACCCTTTTTCCTTGGTCCAGGACTGCATCGAGGGCTTAGACCCTGAATTCGGCGACGATCCCCTCACATCGGGGCTTGCATACTCCGATGGCTCGGGAATAGGCCCCCCAGGGTGCAAGTCGTTCGGTTGGGGTTCCGCGTTTCTTGACGAGGACGGTCGTGTCGTCAAGGCGGGTCGTGGCACCCTGGGGGGACCTCGCTTGTTGGGCTCGGTCCTGAGAGCTGAACTCATGGGCCTTCTAAGGGTCCTCCAGCACGGGAGAGCCGCCCTTCAGGTTGCCGTTGACAACAACACCGTGTATAGAGGCTTTCTGCGTGGAGAGGCCTGGTGCACAAAAGCCAGGAGGCCACACGCGGACCTGTGGCGCCGCATCTGGATGCTAGTGCGTGAGGAGTTTCAAGATTCTGGTGCTCTCGAAGTTGTCAAGGTGAAGGCCCATTCGGGCCGCGACCCCGATACCCTCGTCGGCCAAGCCCGCCTCGACGTCCTGGGTACCGCGCAGGCTGACCTGCAGGCCAGGAAGGGCGCGGCCCTGCACGGGCTCCCCGAGGGACTGAGGCAGGTCTGGCAGCAGCGGTCCAAGGACTCGATCAATATGTGTAATTTTGCTGCGTGCATGACTATGCAAGCCGGCACGTTCAAGGACACCACAGGTCGCCAGGCCCAGGTTCGGAGTGGGGTCCGCCTTCGAAGGCGTGTTCGGGAGGGACCTCCTCCTGGGACCCGACCCCACAACCTGATCTGGGACTGCAAGGCTTGGAGATGTCAACAGTGCGGCCGCTTCTCTGGCACGACTCAGGGAATGCGCGCCCTTTTTTCGCACCCCCTGCAGGAATGTACATGCTAGAGCGGCCCGCTTCGTCCTGCCCGCAAGGACCTCGCTGGGGCCACCCAGCCGTCAGCACGTGCTCATGCGTGCTGGAGGTGTTGTGTTTTGTGGCAATTGCGGGGTGTTCTCCAGCGGGCGGGCCAAGAAGCTGTATCTGCCGTGCGAAGGAGAGCCTGCCAATGCGCAGGCGAAGTGCCGCCGTGGTAAGCTGCTCAGGGGAGAGAACCCGTACACCAGTCACAGACTGTGCGTAGGGGAGGCTGCTCCTCTCCCACCCACTGAACAGCGGGCGGTGCTGGCTGCGCTGCAAGCTCGCTAGCACTGCACTTTGACCTCGGTGTGCAGCGGTGCGCCATCGGGGAGTTCACAAACAAACAAACAACGATCCAAGGAACCTCTTGCCACGATCGTCCTGAACAGCTTCGGGGCTGCTGTCGAACTCCACGTCCACTGGCTGCTCCTCAGTTGCCTCTTCCTTGTTCTCGGCCACAACAGCCGCCGTGCGCTTGCATTCGGTTTCAAGGCGGTGATCTGAGTTTCCTGAGCCTCAAGTTGCACTACCCTCGCCTCCAAAGACTCCTTAAGAAGTTGCATATGATTGGTCTCTTGATCCATATATGTATGCATACTGTCCCTCTGGAGCCGCGCCTTGTGAAAGTCCTGCGCCGCCCTGCGGAACGCGATCTCGGGCGTGCGCAATGCCTTCTGCGAATCGCGAATATCATTGCTATTATTGACGGTTGCCCGGCGGATCGGGTCATCAAAAAGGCCAGGCAAATTCTTGAACACATTCTCGTACATGACCAGCTGGGAGGCAAGCTTCTCCCTCTTGGTTTTGTCATCGACATGTTCACCAGTGAAATTCGCCTGCTTCGGGCTCGTTTCAGCAGCGGGTGCGTTCCACGGTGGCGGCTTGGCCGTCCTGGCCTGCCCAACCCCGTTTGGCGACGCCTCCTTGCTGATGCAGGCGCGGAGTAGCTTCTCCAATTCAGCAAGTTGTTGGTAGCGTCATCCTTTCTTGCACCTGTCTTCTGAGGCGAAGCTGTCTCCCCCTGGGTTGTAGCAGTGTTTTTCCCAAGCCAGTTACTTGATCCGAAGTGGCATTTCAGTTCCACACTGACAGCGGACGAGATGCCGCATCCCCATGTAGGCCGCCGCTGCCCGCGGAGCAGCGCGGGTTCGGGAGGCGGGCAGGCATCATGACGGCGGCGCCCGCTTTGTCTGTCCTTGTCTCGCCTCCGAGGTGAGGCAGGAAGCGTGTCGAAGCCACAAGGCGCGCTACAGCGGCCCCGTTCTGAAGACAGCAGCAGCAAGCGCAAGCCTGCGCCAGAATGGGAAAGAGGGAGGGAGGGAGGGTCGAGAAAGAGGGGGAGGGGGGAGGATGAGGAATAGGTGGCGGAGAGCGGAACACGGAAGGAGGGAGAAGACAGGCGGGAGGGAGGGAAGGCGGAAGACGTGGAGGTCAAGGAGGGGAGAGAGGAGGGAACGAGGGAATCAGAAGGGAGGAAAGACAGGGAGTACTTGAAATGATCTGTTCGGGGGGAGCCTTCATCCCCGTCAGTGGGTCTATCCTCCTGGTGTCACCCCCCTGGAGAGCACTGCGGTCGCGAACACCCATCGCGGCTGATACTCAAAAGCGCGCGCCCAGGGGCGTCCCTGTGACGCCGCTGGCTAGGAAGAGAGGGAGGGGGGCAGGGGGAAAAGGGGAAGGATGAGGAGGATTGAGGTCGTATTTGCGATTTTCTGGCCCTCCTACCCCCCCTCACTCTCCATCCATCCTCCAATCCTCTTTCCCTCGATCCCACCATTCGCCCCCCCCCTCCCTCCCTACCCACCACCTGCCTCCTCTGGACAACGACATCGGCACCGGAGGCACTGGTGCCTCCAGTGTCGACGTCATGCCTCAGAAGCCACTGGTCCCTCCAGTGCTTCCAATGCATCTGGTCGTCGGCCGACGAAAACGGCAGTACGGAGGGGCGCCAACGTACCTCCACAACTCTGGCCTTACTACCTGAAGGCGCCAATTGCCACCATCCAGTGTTTTCCTCCCTACCCGCCCAGTGAAGGGGATGTCGAGCAGGAGGGCGCTGCCTCCGCGATCAGTTTCTTCGCCTCGGCCTCCCGCTCCGCCTGGCGCTTCTCCTGCCAAGCCGACGTCGTTGCCGCCGCCGCGGCCGCCGTCGTCGGCGGCTGCGTCGTCGCCGTCGCCGTCGCCGTCGCCGTCGCCGTCGCCGTCGGTGTCAGCGCGGCCGCCGCCGCCGTCGGCGCCGTCGTCATCGCTGATATCGCCGTCGTCATCGCCTCACGTCGCCGTCGCCAACGTCAGCGTCAACTGCGGGGACAGCAAACGATCACCGAAACCAGCTTCGTACTGGTTGTGGTCGATGTGGCGTCCCAGGACGGCCAAGTCGACCACAACCACAACCAAAGTGCTCATGCCGAGGTCGGTGGGTTCTCCGCCGAGGGGCCTTCCCGAAAAATCGACTCAGTTGTGGTTGTAGCTCTTTGCTGTGCCCGGAGCGACCACCCCCCGAAGCATGAGGTCAAGGCCACCCGATGTGACGACGAAGCGCGACGATTCCGCGCGGAAACGGGACCCGCCGCTATTACACGCGCCCGAGTCCATGTTGGTCCTTCCTCAGTTAACATCGCAGCGGTCGTCGTCGGCGTCGGCGTGGTCGTCGTCGACGCCAACGTCGCCGTCGTCAACGCAAAACGTCGCCGTCGCCAATGTCAAACGTCGCCGTCGTCGTCAACGTCGCCGTCGCCGTCGCCGTCGCCGCCGCCGCCGCCGCCGCCGTCGTCGTCGTCACTAGACACCACAGTGCGCGGCCAGGCGGAAGCCCAGAAGGGGGGGGGTGCACGGTTTCCCCCAGGCCGTAGGCGACCCGAGGACGAAAAAGAGGAGGAGGTGGAGGAGGGGGGGGAGGAGGTGGAGGAGGAGGAGGAGGAGGAGGAGGACGGGTCGCCTAAGCCCTTCGGAGAAACCCTCCAGCCAGTGGGGGGGGGAGAGGTCGAGGCCGCGGGGGGGATCGCGCCAGACAGGCCGTGCGCAGTGCCCTCCCCAGTTTCGGTTCCTCCGTGCTCGTACCTCCCCCCCAAGGGCTCAGCGCCCTCGTTCTCCCCCACGTCCTGCCCTCCTCGGAGGAGGGGGGGAGGGGGAGGGAGGGAGGGAGGAGAGGCAAGCTAGGTGCGCTCGCGTCATATCTGACGTCCTACCCCTCCCTCCCATCCCTTACCATGGCGCTGATTTTCTCTATCCGCGGACGCGTGTCGTAGCGGACCTGTGGCTCCGCGCGCGCGTGCGTAGTGGGTGGTGGTGCGCGTGCGTGCGTGCGTGCGTGTGTGCGTGGTTGTGTGGTGGTGGGTGGGTGGTGGTGGTGGTGGTGGTGGTGGTGGTGGTGGTGGTGGTGGTGGTGCTGGTGCTGGTGGTGGTGGGTGCTGGCTGGTGCTGGTGCTGGTGCTGGTGCTGGTGGTGCTGGTGCTGGTGCTGCTGGTGCTGGTGCTGGTGCTGGTGCTGGTGGTGGTGCTGGTGGTGGTGGTGGTGTGGTGGTGGGTGGTGTGGTGGTGGTGGTGGTGTGGTGGTGTGGTGGTGGGTGGTGGTGGTGCGGCGCGGTGGTGGCGGGCGGATGGGCGCGCGAGAAAGAGGCCCGCGCTGGGGCGAGAACGCCATCCTGAACGACGGAGGCCAAACACCGATCCGAAAATGAGGCCCACGCTGGAGCGGGAGCACGATTCGGAACGATTCGGGAGCAGAAATGAGGCCGGCGCCTCAGCGAGAGCAGCATTTTAGAAAAAAAACACAAGCGAAAACCCAACTCCGGGGAATCCTGTGTAAAAAAACAATACGCGGGGGGGTGCCGAATATCTTCCGGACACCATCAGGGGAAGTGGGAGAGTATTTTCATATTGTGTAATTGTGGAGGGAGGAGGGAGAGGGGAGGGAGGCAGAGAGGCAGGGGGGGAGGGGGGGGGCAAGCTAGGTGCGCTCGCGTCATATCTGACATCCTACCCCTCCCTCCCATCCCTTACCATGGCGCAGATCCCTTCTCTACTCGCACGGTCGGATGTCAAGCAGGGCGATGATCCCGAAAGGGTACGCGATGCATTGTAGAGCACGGCATGGCATGGCGTAGAAGAGCACCGCAAAGCGTAGCATCAACCTAGCATTGCATTACCTGCCGTGGCATGGCACGGGAAATGACGCCAGCGCTGCAGCGGGAGCACGAGTCGAAACGAGCGGAAGCGCGGAAATTAGGCCAGCGCTGCAGCGGGAGCACGATTCGGAACGAGCGGAAGCACGGCAATGAGGCCAGCGCTGCAGCGAGAGCACGATTCGGAACGAGCGGGGCTCGAAAATGAGGCCGGCGCCTCAGCGAGAGCAGCATTTTGAGAAAAAATGCCAGAAGCAGAAATTCAGCATTCTCAAAAAAAAAAAAATGTGTATTGGAATAGCCTTTTTTCAGCGCCGCCTCGGAACTCGATTTTCCAACGCCGGCCGGAACCGGCTCCAGACCCGGCCCAGGCGTCCGGCCCGGGCGCCGGCTCGGGCGCCGGCCTGGGCAATCGGCCCGGGAGGCGTCCCTGGCGCCGGCAGCAGAAATTCAGCATTTTCAAAAGAAAGATGTGTATAATAATTGCCTTTTTTCGGCGCCGCCTCGGAACTCGATTTTCCGGCGCTGGCCGGAACCGGCTCCAGACCTGGCCCGAGCGCCGGCCCGGGCGCCGGCTCGGGCGTGCAGCCCGGGCGCCAGCGGAAATGATGCCAGCGCTGCAGCGGGAGCACGATTCGGAACGAGCGGGGCCCGAAAATGATACTGGCGCCTCAGCGAGAGCAGCATTTTGGAAAAAATGCAGGCGAAAACCCAACTCCAGGGAAACCTGCGTGTAAAAAAACAGTACGCGGGGGGGGGGGGGGGGGCGAATATTCCCAAGACGTCATCAGGGGAAGAGGGATAGTAGTATTCATATTGAATAATTGCGGAGGAAGGGGAGGAGAGAGGGGGAAGGCTTCGGACCCGGGTGCAGGTCGAGGCGGCCTTCGGCGCGCCAGCGCCGGGGTGGAAAAGTCGGAGGGGCGGCGGGAGGCGGGCGGGGCCGTGGCTGAGGCGAGAATGATGTCCTGACAATCGGCGGTGGACAAACCTCCCTTTTGTAAACCACCCCTTAGTGAGAACGGCCTAAGACAGAAACCGACGAACCTGGACCCGCGAAAAGGACGGCCGCGACGCCCTCTCGCGAACCGAAAACGGCCATTTCGGTAATCGACGCGTCAGGGTAGGAGGTCTGTCAACCTCCGAGACAAGATGGGCTCCGGATGCGCTCCAGGATTTCCGAAGCATCCGGCGGCGCAGCCGGTGCGAAACAGTGGGGAACGTGGGAGATGCTGGGAACCCTGGGAATCCTGGAGCGTCGGAGGTTGGGTCTCATGTTCGTGCCGTGCGTGCTGGCGAGGCGAAGCTGCGTGGGCGCGCGAGTGGAATGACCCCGCCGTCGCCAGGGCGATCCGGACGCAAAGGACCGCCCCTCCCCCCCTGGTGGGCGCGAAGCGGCACAGGGCGTCCCGCCGGGGTGTCCTGTGGTGTCCCGTGGGTGTCCCATTGGTGAGTCTCGTCGGTGTTCCGTCGGCCGTGGGCGGGCGATGGCCAAGGGTGCCCCGCCTTGGTATCGATAGTGAAGTCGACAGTGAGATCGATGATGAGATCGCTAGAATGGGATGGATAGTGAGATCAAAAGTGAGATCGACAGTGAGGTTGCTTGTGACATCGGTTGTGAGATCGATATCAGATCGGAAGAGGAATCGACAATGAGATCGATAGTGGGACCGAAAGCGAGATCTATAGTGAGATCTATAGTGAGATTGAGTGAGACCTACAGTGAGATCGATCGAGTGTGATCGATCCTGCGAGGTCGATAGTGGGACCGATCGAGTGAGATCGAACGCGGTGACGATAGTGGAATTACATCGCAGCGCAACATCATCATCGCGCGTCGTCGCTGACTCGAGGGCGCGTCACCAGCATCGGCCTCATCATCGCACCCATCGCACTTGCCAGCAGCTGGTTCTTTCCCCCCACCCACCCCCAACCTCCTTACAGTAGGGGCCCGACCACAAGAAACCCCCCACAAGAAACCCAACCCTGAGACCCCAGGACGTCCGCTGATCTCTGGTGTGGGAAAGTCGCGCTCCCCATCGCAAAGCCATGGAAACCCAAGAGACCCAGGGCACCCTGGGGGCAAGCAGGGCGTTTCCTTGGCATGGGCTCCCACTGTATCACCGGAAAGGTGGCCGTACAGGTACCATTCGGCGGTGGACAAACCTCCCTTTAGTAGACCTCCCCTTAGTGACAACGGCCTGGGACCGAAACCCACGGACCTTGACCCGCAAAAACGACGGCCGCGACGCCCCCTCGCGAACCGAAAACGGCCAATTCCTCAATCGACGTGTCAGGGTAGGAGGTCTGTCCAACGCTCGCTCCCCCGAGCGGCGGAGGAGGAGGAGGAGGAGGTGGAGGAGGAGGACGAGGAGGAGGAGGAGGAGGAGGAGGAGGAGGGGGAGGAGGAGGAGGAGGACAGCGACGATGGCGATGGCGGCGGCGACGACGGTCGAATCATTATGGTGACCTCTCGCTCCCCCGAGCGGCGGAGCGCGAGCGGGGCGGTCCTCCTCCAGCCGCTTCTCCTCGGCCTTCCGCGCCTGCTCCTTGAGCTGCTCGAGGTGCTGCGACGCCTCGGCGCGGGCGAGGCGCGGCTCCGGGGCGCGGCCTCGCCTCTGCCTCGCGTGCTCCCCCATCCCTCGGGCGGGTGCCGGTGACGGAGGGGGTGACTACCTACCAGACCACCCCAACCCAACCCGAAGACCCGAATTTCGGGTGGGGGGGGGGGTACGGGTTCCATATGAGTCGTTTCAATGTTCCCCGACCCCCCCCCCCTGGAAATGGAGGGCACATCGGGGCCTTCGGGCTGGGTTGGGGTGGGTTGGTGGGTGGTGAGGGGGGGGGGACACGACGGGCGGCGATCGAGGGCAGCAGGGGAGAAGTCCCCCAGAGGGGGCCCGAGTGGCCCCGCTCGCCCGGGGGGGGGCGACCACCGATCGCCCCAGCAGAGCACCCCGAGAGCCGCAGGGGCTATAAGAGGCGGGTCGGGGAGCAGGAGGTCGAGGCACCTCGGTGCAGTGCTGTGCCAGGGAGCGTGGCCGTCTGGGCCAAAAGTGCAGCCAACATTGAGGCGAGAGCACGACTCGTTGGACAAAGCGACACGGCTACGGGACCGGGCGGTGGATGGCTTCCCGCCTCTCCTGTGGGGCTATTCCGTTGTCATATTAAAACCACTATTAGACCCCTCGAGCGAAGCGCTATGAGGGAAAAAGGCACCGACAGCGCTACTCCCAGACCACTCCAAGGGGGAGTTCTGACCAGAATTCCGAGGCGAATCCAGCCGTGGCAGCCAGGGCGTCCCAGGAGGCCCAAAAAGACGAAAACGAGGGAAAGGTAGTGGTACTAGTACCCTTTCTTCCTCTGACATCCTGCTCGCTCTCGTCGTCGTCGTCGTTGTTGTTTTCGTCGTCGTCTCAATGGCCTCTGGAAAGAGCCCTGAGTGGCCCCTTACCTGCCGCCGCGGCCCCAACTGGGGTCGGCGGGGGGGTCGCCAAAGGGATAGTTAGAGGGGTGATCCGTGGATGCCAGCGTGGGTTACATCTTTCCCTCGCAACTAGCATGTTTCGGTGCTGCCCTGTAGCTCGCGCGAGTGCCGTTCGCATCACGTGCCAAGTGAAAATGAGTCGCGAAGCAGATCAGCATTCCCAATCAAGAGGGATGGATGGGTCATATCTGGCCAAATCTAGCTGAATTACGAGTGGGTTACGGATGCCCCAAATGATTTAGGGTGGGGTCGATAAATCCGCTAAGTGGGCGGAGCCTACTCAGCCCTGATCGTGAACACCCCGAAGTGACGTGAAGCACTTGCAAGGCCACTTATGAGCTAGGATTGGCCAGATATGCCTACCCTGGCATCCATTGATAACCCCCCTATCTCTTAGCAACCATCGCTCGGCGGCCAGCCCAAGGGGGGAAATGAGAGGGGGCGGGCCTTCTCGGAAGGCTCGGAAGTCCTTCAGCCTTCTGAGAAGATTTCTGAGCCTTCCCCGAAGACACGAAAAACTTCTCAGAAGGCCGGAGGGCTCCTGGGAACCCCCGCCGCACTCCGAGACGGCCTCCTCCTTCTCAGTTCCCCCCCTCGCTCGGCGTCGAACCGCGCAGATCCCAGACGAGGTGCTGGAAGGGTGCGCCTGTCTTTCCCTCCCGTCTGATCCCGCCGCCCGCCCGCCCGACTCTCTGGCCTCCGCGCGCGCTTCCTCTGCGCGCCCGTGCCGCCTGGCCCAGCCTCGCTTCGCGTGACCACAGGCGCCTGCCGGGAGCGAGGCGCGTCACCTCTGGACAGGCTCCAGAACAGTGAGCGCAGGGGTCCTCACAACTAGAGGCTTCCCAGATGGGGTCCGAGCAGATGAGGTCGGGGGATCGTGCCGCATCGCCGATGCATCGTCGACCTCGGTGATGCATCGGCGACGTGGGCATCGGGCTCCACATGACGCCGCATCGCTGCTGCATCGGCGATGCGGCGCGATCCTCCGACCCCATCTGCTTGCACCCCAGTTGGGAAGCCCCGAATGAAGATATCGCGGGAATGCTCACCCCTCTCTGGAGCAAGAGAAATGGAACTAAGCATCGGGTGTCGGAGGTCCGCGCGGATTTCCCGGGCTGGTAGTGGAAAACCCCTCCCCACACCTAGAGGCCTCCTAGATGGGGTCGGAGTAGATGGGGTCGGATGATCGCGCCGCATCTCCGATACATCGGCGATGCATCGGGGATGCATCGGCGATACATCAGCGATGCACTGGCGAAGCGTCGTCGACGTGGGCGATGCATCGGCCACGTCGACGTGAAGCAAATCGGGCGCCACATCGAGCCGCATCGGCGATGCATCGGCGACGCGGCGCGAGCCTCCGACCCCATCTGCTCCGACCCCATCTGGGAGGCCTAGAACACCCCTGGCGGCACCTGCGGCACCGCCCCCAGCGCACTCCGCTCGCCGGGGAGAGGGTTCGGGACAGGGGGCCCAGCGCCGACCCAAGAAATCGGCGCGGACCGCACGATGACACCAAAGGACTCTCAAGCTGTGGATGCGCAGCTGTTTGATGCCTGGCTCCAGTTCACGTCAAAGAGCGACTTCCAGATTCGAGCCCTGTGCTGATGTAGCTTGTTCCTTCTATCCTCAAGGAGGAGGGAGAGGAGAAGATACACAAAAGGCACCTCTACACCACCATGCCTCGCCAGCGCCATTGAGAGCCCTTCCATGATGTGTACGCCCACCTAGCCGAGGCCAAGGGATCTCTGCGCCACCGTGCCCCCTGGCACATTGAGGCGTGGTAGACTGCCAAGGGCTGTCGGGTAGGGTTTCTCCAACCTTCTACAGGACGGCCCACCCCCAGGCAGCGCCCGGTGGCGTACGACACCACCACCCTTCCTTTGTAAGACAAGGACCCGCGCCCCCGAGGCCACGACCCGCCAAAAGAAGTGTGGAGCCGCGCTCCGCGCTCCCGCGGCCACGATCCGCCGAACACAGCTAGTGATCCGCGCTCCGGAGGCCACGATCCCCAGGACACAAAGATCGGCTCCGCGCTCCGCGCTCCGGAGACCACGATCCCTCGTAAGAAACGATCAACTGGTCTGCGCTCCCGAGGCCACGGTCCTTTCTGCAAAAACGACGGATCCACGCTCCCGAGCTTCGAGGCGGGCAGCCAAGGCCGCCAGGATGGCCCAAGGTACCTCCGAGACGGCCCAAGATGGCCCCAAGGCGGCCTAAGATTCGGCGGCGAGCGAGGGGCGGAAGTGAGAAGCGGCGGGCCTTCTCAGAAGACTCGGAAGTCCCCCAGCCTTCTGAAAAGTTGTCTCAGCCTTCCCCGAAGACACTGAAAACCTCTCAGAAGGCGCGAGGGCTTCTGAGAAGTCCTGCCGCCTTCTGAGAAGGCCTTCTCCGGCTCACATCGCCCCTCGCTCGCCGCCGAAAGATGGCCTCAAAACAGCCCAAGAGGCGCCCAAGACGGCCCGAATGTCTCTTTCGCTCTTGAAACACCTGGGCGTCTTCACCTCTCTTCAGCTCCAGATGGGCCTCGAGGCCTTCGAGAGTGCCCCAAGACGCCCCAAGCGGCCCCAAACCCCAATGAACCTCCAAGACGGCCTCAAGAAAGCCCGAGAGGGCCGCTAGACGGCACAAGACGGCCCAAATAGAGCCCCAACCAGGCACAAGAGGGCCTCTAACAGGACCCAAGACGGCTTTAGAGAGCCCATCGACGGCCCAAGACGCCCCAAAGACGGCCCCACGACGGCCGCAGGAGACCCCCCAGATGGCCAAGAAGGCCCAAGACGGCCCAAGAAAGCTTCGAAACTGCACAAGACAGCCCCAAGACGGCCCAAAGCGGGCCGAAAGGTAGGGCCTGAGCTGGGGTTAAACAAAAGTCGCTCTGGGCAGCCCCTGGATCGGGGGTTGCTGTTTTTGTTAGCGACTCCCCGTCGCGCGCGCGCACGCAGCCCGCGAGCGGCCCGTCCGCAAGTAATAGCAAAGCAAAGTGGACCGCAGTGCGCCCTCGCGGCCTACTCCCCCGAAGGGTCGCCTGCCGCCTCATCGCGCCAACACCATGTGGCAAAACCGCGATTGCATTTCTCTTTGAACATCCCCGGGCTTTACTTCCACGGTCCTGCATGCTTGGTTCTGGTGCTGCCATCGTAATTAATAGCGCATGGTGCTACCATCGCCTTTGTTGCGGAACGCGTCGATCGTCCCATCGATCAGTGTACATATCAGGAACTGATTCCCATCAGTAGCCAAATGGTGCGAACACTTCACTGCAGAGCCAATCATCGACATGAATAATTGCTGGATGGTCTTGTCGCACCCACCGCTGCTGTGATCACAGAGGCCTGGCATTGGCGCGAAGCAAGGGCGCGTCTGCGCTGGACTCGGGTGTTCTGGAGGCCTTGGAGGCCTCCTTGGAAATCCCGGGGGCACCCTGGGCCAGGCCCACTTCTAGCAACACCCGACCTGGAGGGGACTGTGAGCCTCAAGCTGGGCTAGTTCCCTAATCCCGCCTTGGCGCCCTCGACGTCTGGCCCTCCGTGCGGGGCTTCCTGCTCTGTTGCGCCTGCTAGGCGGCCAGGGGGTCCGAGCTGGATAAACCCAGAGAAAATCTATCTAGAAGGGGGCCGGGCGGGTCCCGGGGAGGGCGCAGGCGGGGGACCCAGGGGAGGTCCCGCCTTCAGGGTCGGCTGAGCCGGCCGCAAGGCCTTCACCGTTTGTTTAGAAGGGGGGCGAAAGCAAATCCACTCAAAAACGGTCCCCAGACCCCTCCTGCGGGCCGAAGACTGGATGCGCAACTGACAGTTTGGATTCCGACCTCGGCGAGGCACGGCAGAAACCCTCATAAATACGTGCGTCTGGCGACCGAAAGATTTAACGACAAAACGACAAACAAGCTCGCGATCGCACTCGATTTCGGTCGCTTTCGCTCGCCTCCCGCTTTCAGACTCGCCTCCCGCTTTCGCTCGCCTCCCGTTTCGTCCGCCTCCCACGTTCGCTCGCCTCCCGCTTTCACTCGTCTCGCTCGCTCCTTGGGGTTTGAGCGAACACGAAAGCGGGTGGCGAACACGAAAGGAGGTTAGAGCGAAAGCGGGAGGC